CTCAGAGAGAAAGAGAGAGAGAAGGATATGTGTGTCTTATTTCCCAGGCAAGAATAAAGTCGTATATGGGGGCAGGGAGATAGGCTAATAACCTAATCATATATATATATGAAGTACAGAGAGAGTTCAGATCCATTGAAGAGCTCTACAAAGCAATCTCTAGCAAGGGCATCACAGTAGACCAAACTAAAGAGCAGGAATTTTCCCACTCACATGATGGAAGCAGGGAGAGCAGGAATTTTCCCACTCAAGTGGTCACATGAGGGAAGCAGGGAGAGCACTCCTCCCCCAGTTCTCTCTTTGCCACTGTGGAGAGGACATGGTGACTTCCAGCTAATTGTGAATGTCTCCTCAGCATTGAATTTTCTTCTGACTAGGAGAAATGGCTTTTTTACAGAAATGCCATCAGTGCAGCTTAATAAATGGCCCAAAACGACAAGCACAAACATGGTCTTTTTTGCTTGGCTGAGTGCCACAATACTAACAACTGCTCAGCACGCCACTTTCTCACACCCAAGGCTAAGCAAGACAGAGGAGCTCTCAGAAAAACCTTCTAAGTGGGCCCAGGCACCTTCGGTGGCCTCAGTCCCTGCAGCTCAGCCCAACCCCGTCAGATCAGGCTTCAATGCCCCAGAAGGCTGCCTCAGATCCACCAGCAAAAAAGGCAAAGAGTTGAGGCAGACAGCCTCTAAATCCCTGCTGAGATCTAAGTCTCCATGACGCCAAGCATCAAAGTCCCTGGTTTGGCAATCCTCATCTTGACACTGATCGTCGTCATCAGACCCTCAACACTATCCTCACCTCCTCAGTGTTGGGAATCTGCTTTGCTTCGACACCAAGGTTCGGGTTCTCCTTGACCTCGAGAATCAATATTGCCTTGGGTCTGAAATTGTGTAAATTATTTTTTTTAAGATTATTTCCATAACCTTGTAAAAATCTCAGAATGGATTCTTTTAAACTGTACTTTAACTATATTTTAAGAATAATCATAAGAGAAAACAGAATCAAGTCAAATCTCATTACACAAAATGCTGTCCTGTATGGGGTAGACCAGGCCTCCAGAGAGCAGGTCTACCTGTCCCTTTCCACTATATTAGCAGACCTGACCTCTGGAGAACAGGTATACCCTACCCTTTCTACTATATTGGTAGACCTGGCCTCAAACCATCGGCCTGTGTTGAGCCTTAGAACACATACCAGTATTGGGGGGGGGGGGACTCTTACAGTCTACTTTGTTGGGTTTTTTTTAGTGAAATATGACAAATTACAGGTCAACTATAACAAAGGAGGAACAATCGCTGTCAGAACCCTGCCTAACCTAACAAACAGGAAGTTGCTTAAATGTTATCAACCTGCCCAAACTACTTATTTATTCAAATATTTATATCCCACTTTTCTCTGTGACTCAAGGCAGCTTACAAATCATACTGAAAGGCATAATAGGAGTGTGCAAAAAAACTGATTTCCCCCCCCCGGCTCCATTATAGCCTATGGGGACCATTATAGTCAGTGGGCCCTGTAGGCTATAATGGAGAATTGATCTGGGGCTCTGGGGTGGCTGTTTTTTGAGGCAGAGGCACCAAATTTGCAGTATAGTTGCTGGTGCCTTTCTTCAAACACCTCCCCCCCCCAAGTTTCAAAAGATTGGACCAGGAGGTCCAGTGCTATGGGCCCCAGAAGGAGGTACCCCCACCCTTCATTGTTTCCAATGGCAAAGAAAAAATGCCTTCTCAGTTCACTTGTGAGCTGATTGAGAACTCCCTGAGCTGCTGGCTAAAATTCTGTGCACCAGCGTCCCCTAGCACAGCTTAGAGGGGACTCTAGTAACCTTCCCTGCTGTTCATCTAGTGTCTTCCATACATGCACAGATACCTTTCTCCTTCCACACTGTGGAAGGTTGTAGTCCAGGGACCACAGTTCCACGGCAGCAAAGAGAACTGAGGGAGGAGTGCTCTCCCTGCCCCCATCATGTGACTGCCTGGGCAGGAAAAAATCCTGCTCTTGGCTCAGGAGGGGGAGTGCTCCAAAAGTTCTAGAAAATGCTGGAAGGTTGTGAAACTAGCCTCCGTGGCTGGCCCAGCGCATGTGCAGCCCCACATGTGCCTTCGCTGAAGACACTATATGAATAACAGTTGCAACTGGTTAGACTTTTCCCAGTGCTGACTCTGAGCTATATATGTTCAAGCCTGGCATGAGCATACCTTGAAGTGGGCCAGCTGCGAGGACTCAGTGGTTATGGTACCACTGCCACTGATTCTCCAGCATTCCCAACTGCACACTCTGCCCACCATTCAGTGCCATTGGGGAAACGTCATGCAGGCAGTATGAGCAGCTGTGAGTGTGAGAGGTGGAAGGGTTACCAAGCAGGGTAAGGATGGACAGGTAGGTGGGAGGCATTCAGGTGAATTGGCAGGGAAGGATGTGAGTGGGGGGCCTCATGGAGGAAGAGGGGGGTCCTGGACAGGGAGTGTCCCAAGACAGTAGTATGCACTTGAACTTGGTTTGAGCCTCCCTCATGATCTGCACAGATTCACATATCTCTCCCTTACAATAAAGCAGTAGTGGGGGACCAACGTTCTAAAATGCCCGCCTTTAGTGTTTGCCCGGAAGAACTGCCACTCAGAAGACACTGGCTGGGTTGACTGGCTGCTTTGTGCAGTCCCGCCCAGCGTTTCAAGGTCTTTTGCATATGGAAGCTGATTGGACGTCACTCCATTCCACACCTCAAACTC